TTATTTATAGTTAAAACAGACTAGTTATAGACGAGGTACAAACCCCAACACAAAATTAAATTAAACTTTTTTTATCAGTTTTTGTTAAAAGATTTATATCTCGGGTTGTTAATATGTTAACAAGTTCATTCTGGTATCAAAGTACTCAGTAAATGTTTGGCTTTAATTTTATTGATGATTAAAGGACACATGACAAATTGAAAACGAATCATGTAGGCCTACCTTCAATGAACTATTGAATGAATTATTGTTATTTTGAAATTTGTCTTTAGTTAAAGACATTTATCCCCAATTCTAAATAACTCCCAATAAGGAATCCATAGCTAAAATGAAAGTCAATACTTGAACGAATAGCTATGACGAGTTTTTCCCGTTTTCAATCTGCACAACACTACAAAATAAAACCATAAAACGTTTTGTTGAAATTTTTTAAAGGCCATATCCTATATTTATCTAAATATAATTTCCAAGTTACACAGTTACAGTTATTTATAAGTACAGTTATTTATAAGTAAGTTAGTCATATGTACCATCAGTCAAACACCACTCCCAATCTGTTGGATCTGCTGGTGAACTATTTCCACGCCATACTTGAACCTGATAGTACAACCTTAGACTGTGGTAGTTTTCAATGTGTTTTTAAATTGTCAAAGTACGAAACGTCCATAAGAAATGTATGGGGGAGAGTTTTCGTTTTTATATATCCTTAAATCGTAAAGCGCTATTTAAAAAACTAATTTCAGCATTGAAATCAGCGTGTAAATCTAGTTCATAATGATGTGTCACAACACTATAATTAATTACATTAAAAAATATTTATATCCAATATGGCAGATCCAATATGGCTGATCCAAGATGGCTGATCCAAGTTGGCGGCCCAAAAAGCGTCCCCTATTGAAATTAAGTACGGACTATCCAATAAATATTGGTCGTGGTTCCAAGTCAATATCTCGAAAAATGTGCAAAAAAACATGTGGTATCTTTTGTTGCAAAATTTGTTCAAAATTGGGAAAAGCCACCATTTTTTCCTTAATTTAGGGGTTTCCCGTGGACTGATTTTTTGCAACTTTTGGTATGTCACTCTGCACACCACAACAATAAAAATAAAACCATAACATGTTTACTTGCAAATTTTTATACAATCCCTGTGTACGTTATTTTTAGTTTGCTTGGACTATTACATTAATTTATAAAAAATATTTTTATTTGAAATATTTTATTATTTCTACGGGGTTTATTTTTTGTTGTAGGTACATGTATTTGGTATCATTTTAAAGGTAATTTCAGGAGGAACATTAAATGTATTGACGACTTTTCACCAATATTGACTAGAAAGTCAGAATTTCAATAAAAAGCAAAAAACTACTGGATTTGGTCGCCATTTTGGAAAAATGGTGGTGTTCCACCAAAGATATTTTTGGAGACTTTTGATATGTTATTCACAACATTTTTTACTATCGAACAACAATGGTTTCATCTGTGTTCTAATTATTTCTAGGTTTTGCTATTTATTTTCTTATTTTAAGGCGCCTATTTGCTGAGGACACACTTCTAGCAGGTGAAGAGCTGCCAGTCATTGCCGAAAATCGCAAAACTAAGTGGTGTGATCTTGTGGAGAGTTTAGATATGCAGGTGAACAGCAGACTGGCCTGGAAGTTCCTCAAGAACATAAATGGAGATGCGACAAAACCAAAAGACAACTTTACAAACAGTTACTGCCGATCAAGTCGCTACCAACCTTCTTTTAAATGGCAAAACCTATGGAAGGAAATACCGGGAGCCTGTTGTGCATGATGTGGCAAGTGAGAATCACTTCCTGGAAGAACCGTTCACCATGTCCGAGCTAACTGCAGTCATTACCAGCTTAAAGACTAATAGATCTCCAGGTATTGACGAGATCAGAGTCGAACAACTAACAGCCTCATGAACATGTGCGTAAGCCAAATGCATATACCAAAGGCATGGAGGAAAGCTCATGTGGCTGAGAAAGATCCAAACAATCCTAAGAACTTTCGACCTGTTTCTCTCTTATGCCACACATATAAAATATTAGAACGTCTGATACTCAATCGAATCGGCGATTTTCTGGAACAAAAGATCATTCCACAACAGGCAGGCTTTCGATCAGGCAAGTCTTGTTGTGGCCAAGTTTTAAACCTGACCCAGCAAATTGAGGATGGGTTTGAGAGAAAACAGATCACGGGTGTCGCTTTTGTAGATTTAACAGCTGCCTACGATACCGTAAACCATTGAAGATTCTTGGGAAAAGTGTACAGTATTACCAAAGACTATCAGCTAACTTCAATGATAGGCACTTTTCTTCATAACAGGCAGTTTTTCGTGTCCCTTCAAGGCAAGAAAAGTAGATGGAGGAATCAAAGAAATGGATTGCCTCAGGGTAGCATCTTAGCCCCAGCTCTTTATAAAATTTACACTAACGACCAACCGTTGCCAAACACTACACGTCAGTATATAAATGCTGATGATACGGCGGTGTGGCGGCACAAGGTAGGAGTTTTGAAGAGGTGGAACAGAAGCTGACTATGACTCTAAATGAACTTTCCCAGTACTATGACGCAAATCACCTCAATCCGAACCCTGCTAAGACCCAAGTTTGTGCCTTTCACCTAAACAATAGAGAAGCAGGCCGTGAGTTGAATGTAAGGTGGCGGGGAGACCGTCTTTAGCATTGTCCTACACCCAAATATCTTGGTGTCATACTGGACTGCACACTGACATTTAAGGCGCATTGTATTGCGACAAGAGGTAAAGTCTCAGCGAGGAATAATATCGTCAGGAAGCTCACCAGCAGATGCTGGGGTGCTAACCCTAATGTCCTCAGAACCTCAGCTTTAGCGCTCAGTGTGTTGGCTGCGGAGTACGCTGCACCAGTATGGAATGCATCGTCACATGCAAAAAAGCTTGACATTGCAGTCAATGACATGGCTCGGATTGTAACTGGGTGTTTGAAACCAACCCCAGTACACAAACTCTATCCTATCATAGGGATCACCCCTCCATCAATCTGACGTGATGTCGGTGCCGACGCAGAAACGACCAAGCAAGAGACAGACCCTCGTCACCCATTACACGGCCATCAACCTGCAGAGCGACGGCTTTGGTCCAGAAAGAGCTTTTTATCACGGACACGAGTCCTGGATGGATCACTCTCAAGCAATCGGGTAGCAAGGTGGTAGGCCACGTTGACTAACCCTCCCATACCAGCCAGGGAGGAACTGGCTCCTGGTGGAGGCCTTCATTACATGGTGTGGAAGACCCTAAATCGAATTAGGGTCGAGGTACCAAAATACAAGACAAACATGCAGAAATGGGGTCTCTTACCAGACATCTTGTGCGCGTGTGGTGCTGTTCAGGATCCTGGCCATCTGCTGATCTGCCCATGCCTAGTCCAGTCTTGCACATTAGATGATCTTTTACATGCGAATGACCATAAGCCATATCGGTAGCTAATTTTTGGAAAAGCGAAGTCTGATTTCTGGACACGGAAAGTAAGTACAAATAAAAATCGTAATATTTCAGCTAGTTTTATTTCTATATTTTTGAGCTTGGTAACGTTTGATAGGGAATTAAAAATGATAAATAAAAGTATTCTAGACGTTTGTTTATAAAATCAGCCGTTTATGAGTAATTTAAGTTTAAAAAATTAAAATGGCCACCATTTTGAAATTTTAAGTTGAATCAAGAAATCAATGGGGCTCTTCTACCCTACATACCAAGTTTTGAAAGATTGTTTGAAAAAATCCAAAAATAAAAATGTTTATGTAAAAAATACAAAATGGCGGATATCTGGTTAACGAAGCGATTTTGGAAAAAATGCTATACTTGATTTTCTCTTTATTTTGACCCATAGAACCATTTCCCGGAGTTTGGCTGTTTACTTATGGGACACCCTGTATTTTAATTTTTTTACTTTCTTTCATGAAGAAAGTATGCTTTCATCATTTTTTTTTTAGTTTGAGTTTTGGGTGGATTATATCTGTTTTTGGTCCCCCTGAAACAAAAAAGTGGTTTTAGAAGTGATGTCTGTGTGTGTCTGTATGTGTACAGAGCTACAGATCTGCACCTGTAGATTTTATGGATTTTGATGCAATTTGGTGTGTGGGTATCCATCGTATCTCCAGCCGTTTGTTTAATTATTGATTTGCCACGATCACGATTGATGTAGATGATGATGTCCACGTAAATGAGATGGAGATGTTCACGATTTTGCCACGGTCCCGGGGGACAATGATGAGGTCCCCGTGATGTAATGGAGATGTTCACGACTTCTCTGCGATCGCTGGTGACTACGATGATGTCTTCTTGATCCAAGGGAGATCTTCATTATCTATTATGATCGCGGGAAATTTCTACCTCAGAAACAAAGGTCGCTCAAGTTAATTTGGCCTAGAGCCTCAAGTACCCTAAGCCTGGCACTGATGGTCCATATGCCTTACAATGGGAAATAATTATTTACAGACACTAGAAGAATATGTTCATATTATTATTCATTTGAGATGGGGACATATTTTATGTACGTATCTATGTATGTATTTTAACCTAAATATGAGTGAAGGATGAGTGTAGAATGGAGTGTGATGGCTTGTGTAGCTTTGTTACTGACTAAAAGACCAGCTGTTACAATAGTCAGGACCATTTACTGAAAGTCAGATCAATAGACTATGACAATGATCAAGGACAGCTGGGTCCAGTTTGGAATCATCAAAAAGATACACACTTTTCTCAGGATCGAACCGGCGACCTTTTTATTTCTAGTCGAGCACTATAACCACGAGCTACCCAACTATGATTGTTAAAATATGCAAGACTGAATGCTGGGAATGTAGTAGGGTATGTGATTAATTTATGCATCATAAAACAGTTGATTACCTACCACAGAATAAAATGTGAACTAATTAGTTTTTTTGTTAACATGTTTAGATGATGTTACACAGTTTTGTATAGTTGTTTTCTATAAATTGTATTGAATTTTATTTTAGGACCAAATAATAACAGTCGTGGATGCTATGTACAAACATCCCGTGAAAGACGGAGACGTAATAATGAAACAAGGTGACAAGGGCAACATATTTTATATGATTCAGTCGTAAGTACAGTTGTACCGTAATTAATATATTTTATTAATTAATAAACTATCATACATAACAGGTTTTAAATGGATAATTATGGTCAGTTATTTATTAAATAAAGATAGTAGGTATAAACATTTTAACTAGTGTACTTGGTTTGCTAAACTCTAACAGTCGATCTGCTTATTTTTGCTGGAAAGTTATTATGATTATCACTGCCAAGGGGCAAGAGCCAGTTACTGTACGACTGCTCAAGAGTGAGGATGTATAGTCACCCCAGTCCTTCGCCATAGAACTGGACTCTGTAGCTCATATCCGCGCTTACAACAATGTTTCAAGAGGGGTAATGATCTATTGATTTGAGGATCTTCGAAATAAAATTCACTCCTATCATGAATCCATTATATAGCAAAAAAGAATAATATACAGAGTGCGGCAAAAGTCAGCATACCGAAAGTGCAGCAAAAGTACAGCTACATAACTATAACAGTATTATTGTAAGTGCCTGTTATAGAAACTGCTCAAAGTTATCACCACCATTTTCTATACACATCTAGCACCTTTTCAACACTGATTTGCAAATTCTTTTACATAGTTGTGGTGTGAATATAAATTAAAATCAAAATGTTCCGTTATCAATTCTTCATCTTAAATGTTCTAACTTATGGAGGTTTCTCCGAAAACACGTTAGGAGGTTGTGTTCCAGGAAACTGTTGTTCGTATGCTTCAATAGCATCCGTATAATTACGATCAAATTTCCACCAATTTTTTTAAAGAAATACTCGTTGATCTATAGATAGTTGCGATTCATAATTATAAACACTGATTTGTTAATAGAAGCACTATACTCATCAACTTCACTTCACGGTCACAGGCGGAACACTGACAAAACAAAAAATCCTCGATAAAGAATAAACTAAGGCAAAATAAAACATGTGTTGACATTAGATTAGATAAGGGATGAAAAAAGAAATAAAAGTAGCGCGATAGATAAACAATGATGCTTACTGGTCTGCAGCGGTACGCTGACTTTTGCCGCACCCGGTATTTTAAGGATATATAAAAATTCACTAAAATATATTCATTCTATGTACAGGTCCATATAGCGTTAGGCAGTAAATATATGTAAATGTACATTGTTTTATTTTGTGCAGAATATATGATTAAGTTATCCATGTATAACATGGTAATTATTAATTTTGCCTTATAACTAACTAGTTGTTACCCACGGGCTTCACCCCGTTTGACTTCATTAGTATTAATAAAACTATTGATTGGTTAGGTTAAGCTGAAATGAACAAAACAGAATACAGTAACACAAACAAATAATCTCACCTGATTTTAATAAGGTAATAAATTGAAAGAATAACATACAAATGAATACAGCTGAGGTATTTTTAACATTAGGTATGGAAAGTTCCCTTTGGAATTACGACCTGCTTTTAAATTATATTTATTTGTAAACATTCTAGATCAAAAAGTCTGACATTGGCCCACTTAAAACCCTCTGGGGCAGAGCCCTTTTGACGGATCTGCACCAAACTTCACTCGAACCATCCTTGAAAGATGCTTAATAATGCCTGAAAGTTTCATTACAATCTGTCGAGCGGTTTCGGAGTCCATAACGTATATACACATATATATACATACATAGTTCCTCTTTTATAGATATAGATTTAAGAAATAATGGATAGTTTTGCACATGGTTTCTCGTCATGACGAACATTTTAAGTATGGTTTATGGGGGTGTGATTTGTAGTTTTCTTAAAAGATCATGGGTACTTTTGGATTTATATATTACTAGCTGGCCCGACAGATGTCGTCCTGTCCTAATGTAGTTTTATGTCAATGCTCGTCCATTTTCAAGATGAGCTCGTTCGCTACGCTAAGGTTGAAGTTTGTTCGCTACGCTCACTCACCTTTTGGTTGCAAATTAGCTGTTGTCATAAATTAAAAAAAAAATAATAGTGCTGCACCCTGTTGGTAAACCTATTAACTTTTTAATGCTATTGACCATCAGAGAATCTAACTATTTAGTTGAACCATAGACAAAAATAAATATAGACTGTCAGCTGTGCTGCGGTTAACGTATATTCCGGCGCCGACCGCTAGGGGTAATGTGTAGTTACGGCGCACACCGCTGCAGCATCAAGTGCTAGCGACCGTTTCCATAACAACTTGGTAGTTGGGAGGAGTGTTGCCAACTTTGGAGGAATTCCCCGGAATTGGAGTTTACTGACTTTTTTTATATTAAGCAATAAAATAATTTAAATGCCATCTTTTATTGTATTTTTTAAACATATATTTGTTATACTTTTGTAGTTTCATTACAATTATTCAAAGTTTTTCTTTATTAATCCATAATTATAGGAAGTGGTTTATTGGAAGGTTTTGTTTTATATTTGCAAGGTCAAAGTCTAATTAACCAGGGGGGTCTAGCATGCGGGGAAAACGGGAAAGTCAGGTATTAGTATTGAATTTTAAAATGGTATTGAAAAGAAAATTGGGATTTAGTCTTTATTTTGATACATCAAAGTCGGGAAATTTCATGATTTTTTCTGCGATCGCGCAAGACGGTAATGTCTACACGGCCGCTGAAGATGTTCACAATTTTGCCGCAATCGTGGACGACGATGACGTTTCGTGACCACGGCATTCAATGATGATGTCTACACAGCCGCGGAAGATGTTCATGATTTTGACGCGATTGCAGAAGACGACAATAGCGATATAGTAATAATTTCGTTTGCAAGAGTGGTAGTGCTGGTAACAGCTGGCGAGTAGACGACGACGACACCAAATTGAATACCGATAACCGATATCGAACGGCGATAACGCTCTAGCGGCAGATCGAAAAACCTTTCTTTGACAGTCTATATTTACTCTGTGGTCTATGGTTGAACCAGCTGTTAAGATCCTTTAGTTCCATTTAAATATGAGTACTCATAAGGTTTAACATGGGAAACTCCAGAGCCACTGGGGCGGAGCCTTTTTTACGAATCTGCACCAAACTTCACACAAACCATCCTTGAATAATGCTTAATAATGCCTGAAAGTTTCATTACAATCTGTCGAGCGGTTTCAGATTCCATAAAGGACAAACAAACAAACAAACAAACAAACAAACAAAGAAACATTTGGTTTTTATATCTATATCTATAAAAGAGGAACTACCTATGCCAAGATCAGACATTTGAAAAATATATCTTAGATATCAGGATGAGACAGGAGAGGTCTTGGATGTGTGTTGGTTTACGATTTATATTAATTAAAAGTTTTGACTATGGTGTATTGTGATGAACAGTAAAATGAAAGTTTCAAAAAGTGGTTTAAAACAATAAGTGTTCTATAATTTATACTAAATCCTACCTTCAGAAGGAATAATGATAGATTTTTTTAGCACCTGTTTTCTTATATTGATGCACAAATCTTTGTTATGATCTTTGTTGTTGTTAAATACTACAGTACCAGTACTGCAAACATTATGTACTTCACTTATTTTTGGTATAAAACAAAAACTTTTTATAGTACTAAAAATACCAGTTTTTTCCATAAAAAGGTAACATAATTTTTTTATATATAAAAATTGTATAGGTACTTGTTTGACTAAAGTTTAACACTCAACTAACGATTTGGGTTTCAAATTAGAGCTTTCAAATGACACCACCAAAATATTATGTAGAGTGAAAAGGTGTTACAGTAAATTAGTTTACTTAGCTTAGACTAAGTTTCCATTTACAAAATTAGAACTATACTAGAGACTTTAGAAAAGCCAAAGTATTAAACCACATTTAGACCGTACTGTTTTTTAAAACATTTTGTAACATAATGTTTTGGGGCTGACGTCATATTTTAAAATTGACACATATTATTTAGGTGGTGTGATGTTACAGCGGAGTGTACAAGGTGCTGGTGACAGATCTGAAAGGCAGAGAGAAGCTGATGCACACGTATCACCACAAGGGTAGTTTTGGTGAGCTAGCGCTGCTGTACAACCAGCCCAGAGCAGCAACCATCCTAGCGGCCACTGACGGGGTCTTGTGGGCCGTGGACGGACAGACGTTCAGGCGGATCGTACACAAGATCACTTACGAGAAGAGACTCATGTACGAGAGCCTCATCAACAACGTGCCACTGCTCAAAACGCTTGAGGTAGTGTACCATCCAATAATGACCAGCCCATAGACTTGTTAGAAGAGAACACCATTAACTTTAATTTACTATTGTGTGTTTTAAATTAAATTTGTTCTATTTGTTCCTGGTTAAAATATACAAAAAGAAAGTAAAGTTAAAGGAAGTATTTAAAAGCTTAAAGGCAATAGGAATGGTGAATAATGAATTGTCAATTCTATGATCATAATTGTGGTTTTAGTACAGGAAAGTGTTTGGATTTTATATGAATGTTCTTTTTAAAGCACAACTATTGAATTACAATTACAATTATAGAAGGCATAAGAGGCTAGGTGTTTGTAGACAAAAGAAGCTCATACATAAGTTGGCAGCCTTGCTTCCTCTATTTCATTACTGATTTACCTACCAAATACTATTGTTTTTTACAGATCTTAGTATTATTGGGAATTTATTGTGAGCAAGATTCAACATGTTTTCCCTATAATGAAACCCACACGGTATAATAAGTATTATAAGTACGTAGTTGATTTACAGGTACAGGAATCTCACCTAAAAACTTAATTTCAAACATTTTTTGGCATTAAACGGATAGTTTACTTTTAATGTATGCCACTGAGATTGTGTAAACACCATATTGAGTCTTATTCATTCACCATAAATTCCCAGGAGCACTTAACTTTGTAGACAAAGACAACAATGCTAAAGAGTGAAAATTTTGAAACGTACGTTTTAATGTCCCTGACCTTTTACTTCGTAGATACTGAATAATGTAGTTCACGTAATATCACGACCAAAGTTTCACAACCATCGCGGGTTTTTTCACGACCAATCGTGCCACAGGAATTTTTGGGGGGGACTTTTTTTGAGGGGATTTTGGGGGGGGGGATATTTTTTTGCTAGCTGTCATAATGAATGTATAATTTTGTATTTAAGCAGCCAGAAAAAGTGTTTCTAAGTAGCTCACTATCAACACTAACAACATTTTACCGTTCGTAATTAAGATTGCTTCTAAGAATGGTAAAAACGCACCTTGTCAGACAATCCTTTGAGTGTTTTCACTCAAAAATGTTGTGCTGTCCCTAGTTTTATGTATTTATATATTTCAAACTCCTCAAAGTATTTAATACATTTTTTGCGTGCAGTACTAGAATTTCGAGACCATCATTTATATCCAGCATATAAATTAGTTATTGTCAATAATTTTGAATGGAAACTCAATTATGAATCCCATTATATTTTCAACACTCTCCACCGTCACAACAATTAGTCCAATATCAGCTTTAGATAACACAGATAACAATCCAGAGACCACGTCTTTCCGTCAAAACCTGATTCAGTTTACTTTACAGTCCTGCCCGCGGCAATATACACGTGTGAATTGATAGGCCTATCTGTTATTGTTTCGTTTTTTGTGTACAAACGGATTGTCTGACAAGATGCGTTTCTACTATTATTAGTCATCAAAGGCAATCCGCTGGGGCTATCAAAATGAATTATAAGATTACTTTGTCACAACAAACCTTTTTTACTGGTGGCAATTAATTAAGGTATTTTGTGGGTATTTCGCCTGGCGATTTTTGTAGAAGGCAGCCTGGGAGTGGCGAGCAACAAGTCTTTCTTATTTCGCGACTCTGCCTATAATTTTGAAACAAGATAGTTTTTGCCAAAGTATTATTAATGCACTTAAAGCTGTTTGAATTCTTATAAAACAATTTTATTTGAAACTAATGGGCAGTGGAGAATCATTTTGACAAATTATGTTTTTTCAGCCATTTGAATGTTCTAACTTGGTTGATGCCCTGACTCCAAAGACTTTTCGAGATAACGATGAGATTATAAAACAAGGAGAACAAGCCGATGGAATGTATTTTGTCATATCTGGAACTGTTAGGCTGGTGGTGAAGTATGACAATGGCACTGATGCTCTTGTAAGTTATTAGCACTAACTTATCCTCATTATAAGGAAGTAGATTTTATTTTCTTTAGCTATACTTTGAAATAAAGAGTTTTCTGGTTTCCAACTAAAGAATATTTTTATCTCAGGGCATATCTTAAAAAAAAAAAATGGTATTGAGTATGAGTGCACCAGTGAATGACTGTTTAAGGTAGAGTTTCCATACTTGTATCCAACATGGGAAAGTATGAATAAGCTAATGCAGGGAATAGAATGTCTTATCAGTATTCTCCTATCTACCTACTTAATAGATTATGTTCAAACAGAGTGTTGAAAGATACAAATTATTGCATATAGTTCATTGCATCAGTGAATGACCGTATATTATAAAAAATTTTAAAACTGTACTAGCCCCATTTATTTTCTCCAAATAACACGTTCAATATTCTCACATTGAAGCTAAACCTGTATTGTAGGATCTAAATTAACCCGGCGGAGGATCAACCGTGGTCAATAGAAGCCTTAAATAGGTTACATAGCCACATTGTCCAAGAAAATTTTATAAAATATGTTTCTTTAGACTAATGTGTTGGAAAGTGTTGTATATTTAAATATTCTGTCAATCATTTATTTCCAGTAGGCTTCCACATTATTATTGCTTATGAAAAATCACAGTTCATTAAACAAAACTAAAATGGAAGCAAGACAAAGAAATATTGATTGATCGCTTCAAGGTCAAGCTATCTGCTTGCACTGACAATTAATCGTCTGCTCCTTACACATCTGCTACTTGTTACGTCAGCTACTAGAGTAAGCTTCGGTTGTATGGTCTCCATACCTTCTTACAGACCAGCAAGAGTCAGTCCAGAGACAATTCATCAGAATTCTGGGCTGCCGAGAAGTGTTCAACTACTTAGAAGTTGCCATTTATGTTGTCTCAGAATTCTACGGGTTGCAGCCATTGGCATGCAGAAGACAAGTGCAGATGTGTCCTTCCTCTCAAAGCTCCTCAACAGCTAGGTAGTCTTCCTGTACCTCCTGCTAAAGATCAATTTCAGGGTGCCCACTAGGCGGACAGCGTTTATTTGTGCTGGAGCATGCAGGAAGAAGTTACATCCAGCACAGTACTATTCTCCCATCAGGCTCGTGTGATCCGGTGTCAGATGGCAGCGTCAGGAAAAAAAATTTTTAAGAAGGCTGTTAGGTGGTCATAGAAGAAGTCTACTGACTCAGAGAGGTTGTTGAACTTCTGTAAACGGCCCACAAGATTTTCCCATGTTAACCTTATGAGTACTCATATTAAATGGAATTAAGGAATCTTAACAGCTGGTTCAACTAAACAATTTGATTCTTTACTTTGTGGTTGGCTGACCAGGATTTGCTTTTTAAATGTAATAATATATAAGACATACCGTCTTGAAGCAATCCAGTTTTGTACTCAGTGTACAGCTGCTTCGGCTTAATCAAGCCATCTTCAGCACTTTCTTAGAGGTCAAATCATAATAAATAAGCGAACATTCTGGTTCTTGTCGACTTTTTACAACACATTACACAACACAAAAGATTAAACATAAAGTTTAGTAGGCCTACTTTTATGTCGCGACATAACCTCACTTTTGACATGTGCTCAACTGACAGACAACAGACGACAGGCAATTTGATTCTATGATGTTCAATAGCATTAAAAAGTTAATAGGTTTACCAACAGGTGCAGCACTATTATTTTTTAAATTTATGACAACAGCTAATTTGCAACCAAAACCTGTAAGCGAGTTAGCGTAGCGAACGAGCTAACCTGAAGGCAAGTGAGCGCAGCAAACTAGCTCCAACCTAAAGGTGAGTAGGGAAGCGTAGCAAACGAACTTCAACCAGGACGTGATTGAGCCATGCAAACGAGCTCATCTTGAAAATGAACGAGCACTGACATAAAACCACATTATGACATTAGGGATGATATAAAATTGCCACGATCACAAAAGACATTGATGATAATGTCCACACGACCGCTGGAAACAGAAAGAATTTTGCCGTTATCACGGAAAACGATGATGATCACCACACAACTGCGCAACATGAATTACATTTTGCCGTAATCGTGGGAGACAATTACGATGTCTACAGGACCGCGGGAGATACAATAATAATTTCTACACGGCCGCGAGGGATGATATGAATTATGCCGCGATTGTGCAAGACGATGATAATGTCCACATGACCGCGAGAAAAGATCATAATTTTCGACTCATTCGCGAAAGACAATGATCTCCAAATGTCCGCGGGAGATGATGACCATTTTGCCGCAATCGTGGTAGGCGATTACTATGTCCAAACGACCGCGGGGGACGATATAATGATGTCTACAAGGCTGCGAGGGATGATCAGAATTTTATCGTGATCGCACAAGACGATGATAATTTCCTCACGACCATGGGATATGTTCATATTTTGCCTCGATCATGGAAGATGATAATCATGTCTACACGATCGAGGTCAGGTGAGCAAAAAATAGTAAGAATTTTGCCGCAATCGCGGGAGACGATTACGATATCTACGCTGCCGCGAGGGATTTTCATAAGTTTACCGCAATCGCATATGCAAATACAACCAACAATTTTTTTATTTTCTAAATTTTTGGCGCCCCCTGAAAAAGCCAATTGCCTTGCGCCCTAGGCACGTTCCTACCGTGCCTATTCGGTAAACCGGCCCTGGGTTAGTTGGGGTGTATCGCTACAAACACACAGATCACCAATTATTTGCTGCACAGGACGGGAATCGAACCCGAGCAAACGAATGACACTGGCCAAGTGACACACACCCTAGCCTTCTCAGCTATCTGTGCTTGGAGACTGAGGAATCAAAAGCCGGTATTTAAGCTGACGCCAACGATTGCGAACAGATAGCACTACAGCAGGTTGTTCAATGTGTTACAAGGTAGCAGCACTAGTTATTCACGGACTATTTAGATAATATTTGTCAGTTGAACCACACCAGTGAGTGATCATAAATTGTGTTACTATGAGGCTTTGCTGCAAAAAACTATTTTTCCTAAAATGGCTATAACCTTATCAAACTAAATCAAGGTTAATAATTAATTCAATATTACATTAAATACTAGATGTCTTTCGATTTTATTAGATTTTGATTTCAAACAATGCTATCAGAACATTACAATTTATAAGAAAACTTGGAAATTTACAACAAAAACAAAGTTTTATTTAATGTTTACTACAAATATACAAACTTTTCTTTGTTCTATATTTATTATTGTCTTATTATTCAAAATTAGCCTAATTAATAAAATAGTGACAACAATACAGTAAATATTCAACAATAGCTTATTCCCTATATGGGAAATTCGCTAAAAGGTAATGGAATTAAAAGGCAAACAAAAAAGTCTTACGAAATGGAAATATAAATTATTGGCCTAGCACTGAAAAAGTTAATAGCCTGTTAACCCACGCCAGACAAAATTCACCATCAGTGCCCTCAGCCTGTTTTATTTTTATTATTATTATTATTATTATTTTTTTACATAAAACAGTCATTTCTGGTGCACTCACAATCGTAAATAATAATTTTTGTTTTTATGTGAGTTAAATATCAAGAAATATTGTATCAAAATATTGGTTGCAAATAGATTTATTCATGACTTTTATGTGTTTTTTTAGCTTAAAGTTTTGAGTGGAGGTGACTACTTTGGAGAACTAGGATTATTAACCAACAAGCCAAGGGCAGCCTCGGCAATCTCTGTTGGTGTTTCTCATCTGGCATGTAAGTTTATAAGCTCTACAACTCTCACCATGCACTAAATGCAGTAAATGCAGTCAGGTGAATTTGTTTTGGCCATCAAGTGCAGGTACGACTGAAAATAGCCGTGACCTGACAAGAACTGCGTGATGTAATAGTCAACCTCATCGTGCTGCCGTTCTACCCACGGTTGGACCTGCCTGATGAGTCTGGCAGTCCAACGTCCTTGAGTCTCCCTTTCCCAGCTTTCTTGCCACATCTGAAAAGTGCGGGAGCGCTCTTCTGTTCTTGCAGCGTCCTTTCCGATGTAGCCTTGTCTCTGGTAGATTGCCTTCCTCTCCGCTGCCAAGAGTTTGACTGGGATAACTCCTGCGATCACCAAAACGGCCGGTTCAGACACCGTACGGTACGCGGAAGCGACCCTGAGTGCCGCCTGACGCTGCACTCGTGCGAGCCTCAACCTATAGCCTCCTTGTTAAGCGCGTCTGCCCACACCTCAGAGCCGTAGAGAAGCACGGACTGGACTGCAGACATCAGTAGTCTTCTACAGCTGGACCGGGGACCACCGACATTGGCCATAAGCCTACTAAGAGCAGCGACACTCCTAGCAGCCTTGTCCGCTGTCCGCCGTACGGAAGATCTGGTCCCTCCAGCTCAACTTGTTGTCCACCATAACACCAAGGTACTTGGCGGTTCGCGTGGTTTGGACAACTACGTTCCCAACTCGTAGCGGAACGATGGTTTCAATCCGTTTTTTCGTGAGGATGACGATCTCTGTCTTTCTCAGAGCGAGTGTCAGACCATGATCAGTCATCCAGGCGTTTACAACACGCATGACTTGGTTCAGTTTCAGTTGGGCTAGCTCAACGTTGCGTGCAGCAATGAGGGGTGCGACGTCATCGGCGTACCCAACTAAAACGGTCTCCTCTGGCATCTCAGATCTCAGAAGGCTGTCGTAGGCAGCGTTCCACAAATCTGGGGCGAGTATCGAACCTTGCGCGGCACCGGAAGTAACATCCATCGTCCGCGAACCATTTTTAGTTTCGTAATTAAGAGTTCTGCAGCGCAGGTAGTCCTCGATCAGCCTCAACAGATATGCTGGTACGCGGAAGCTGTTCTTCAACGCGCTCAACATATCGACCCATCTCGCCGAGTTAAAAGCATTCTTGACATCTAGCGTAACAATAAGCACGATACGGCGAGAGTAATGATTGAAGCTTTCGGCACGCTCTACCGCTCTGTGTACCTCGGATATCGCGTCGATTGTTGACCGACCCTTTCTGAAGCCGTACTGACGAGGAGACAAATCTCCGGCAGATTCCACGGCAGACGTCAGGCGGCAGCGGATCAGTTTCTCGAAGAGTTTTCCGGCCACATCCAACATACAGAGGGGTCTGTAAGACGACGGCATATTCGGGTCACCTTTCCCCTTGCTGATTAGCACAAGCCTAGCCCTTTTCCAAGGAGTTGGGAAAACCCCTTCGCACAGGCATGTGTTGTACATTCTCAGCAGTAAGAGGGGGTTAACTGAGAATACCTTCTTAAGAGCCTCACTGGAAATACCATCAGGACCAGGTGCTTTTCTATTTTTCAAGGAGAGGACAGATGATTCCAGCTCTTTAATGCTAAAGAGTGGAATGTCCCCTACCTCGCCATAGTCGAAAAAAGGCCTCCGAGGATGAGACGGAAAGAGGGCGGTGACGATCCTGTCCATGGTGGTGCCCTCCATGACGGAAGGTGGTGATCGGGCGCCGAGTTTCTGGGTTACAACCTTGTAGCCCAGTCCCCAAGGATCAGAGTCAACATCCTCCTGAAGCCTCCTCCAACAGCTAACCTTGCTCCTGATGATAGCCCGATGAAGAGCTTTCTTCGCAGCCCTATAAGCCGCTGACTTAGCCTCGAAATCCGGGAATCTTCTGGCCCTCATAGCGGCACGTCTGGCTTTCAGACAACCCTTCCGAAGGTACGAGATCTCTAAAGTCCACCAGTACACAGCTTGCTTATCGCGACGGCGTCCCCTGCGTGGCATGGCCTGGTCACAAGCCGAGACAATCAGTTCCATTGTGGACGTTACCAATGCCTCGGCGTCAACAGGTGCAGCAGAATTCACCAGTGCTCCCCGTGAGATTACGTCAGTGAACTTCTCAACATCCAGCTTGTCCGTATTCCATCGGCGTGGTCCAGATCGTGATACAGGCGCCTGATTATGGTGTTCATCCAGTATATCAAAAACGATGTACTGATGATCACTTGCTGTGAGGTCTTCAATGACTCTCCAGTTGGAGATCCGTGCTAGTAGTGATTCTGACGAGAAGGAGATATCGGGGATCGTACCTCTCATACCGGGGCGCCGGAAAGTAGGCGTGTCGCCCTCGTTTAAGTTGACAAGTCCGGCCCTGGCGACAAAGTCCAGGATGTATTTCCCCCGGGAGTTTGTAGAGGTCATACCCCACTCCACAGCCCTCGCATTAAAATCACCAGCAACAACGACATGCCCAACGGTACCCCGTACACTGTCTTCTAAGCGGTCAATCTTCAGACGGAATTCCCGAATTGGCTCGTTGGGGGTAAGGTAGACACTAAAAAACGTGACGTCCCTACACCTGACCCAAACGAAGCCTCGGCCGCGTCCGTGATCTCGCACTGGTGCTTCCGTGCTGTTTCGAACCCAACAAGCGGCAGTACCAAGAGAATCTGGGAACCAGAAGTGTGGGTCCCTGTCACGGTACTGCTCGCTGATCAGAAGGGTGTCCGCACCGATCTCTTGGGCCAGCTGATCTAAGAGGGAGTCAGCCGTTCTGGACCTCTCAAGGTTACCCTGGAGAATCCTCACTTCCTAGACCTAGCCTTCTCAAGGTCGAGTGCAGCCTTGAAAACACTGCATCGCCCAGCCCCTGGGATGTGACCTAATGAGGCGTCCTTTTGGCCTTTCTCTGCGCAGAGAAAACAACGCTCTGCTGCGGTACAGTTCTTCCTGTTGTGGCCCGAGCCGCCACACCTGAAACAATTCTTGGATAGGTCGGGTCCCTTACAGTTTCTGGAAGAGTGACCAAACCCGAGGCAGCGAAAGCATCACGGTACAACCACCCTCCGTCTGAGCCTGCAATTGACCCATCCAATTCTCAGGTGTGTGAGATTAAGCAGCTTGCTGGCATCTTGGTTTCGCATTTCAGCAATAGCTATGCGTTGCTCGCTGCGGTTGGGCCGCGTAAGCCATACTTTAAGGGAGTCGGCATTTTGGATATCAGGGATGGCCTTGTTGATAGCCTCCCTGACTTCAGCCTCAGTCGAATGTCCGTCAAGGTCCCGGATCTCCACCGAGGTCCTAGGCTCGAGTTCCCGAACGGTACCGTGGTCCCCTAGAGCCTCTCTGACCTTTGCAGCAAAAGCCACTCGGTCACCAGATTTCCCCAGCTCGAGGAGAACTTTCCCATTCTGGGTACACCTGATTGACTTAACAATGGTATCCGTCTCCTCTGGCTTGGCCTTAGACTTGAGTCGACCCAAGACTTCAGCAAAAGATCGCCCCCCTAAGGGGTTGATCAGGATTGCCTCAGCCCTGGGCTTTCCTGGCCTGGGTTTCTTTGAAACAGGGGGGGCCTTTCCACGAACCTCCCTCGCCGAAGCTGGGTCAGCAACCTTTCGATCTCTTGCTGCAGGTTCTTTGTTAGAGACAGCCTCCATTCGTCTCAATTTCCTCTTTTCTTTGCGGGAAAGCCTCTTCTCCCAGTTACCCACATTTGATGGTGCCACAGCAGAGTTCATATAGCTGCTTCCGTCAACCGTTGGGAGAGAGGCAAGCTCCCTGGTTTGCTGAGGGCGCTTCTTTAGAGCTGGAGTGTGCTCAGTAGGGGGTGTCATCTGGGTGGCCCTGTCCTCGACCTTCTGCTCGACATCTGACAGAGGCTGATTGGCCAATTCAGGAAGATCGGGGCTATCCGCTGGTGAGCTCCTTGCCCGTTTCCTTTGATTCCCGCCCTTGTCGTTCAGTTTAGGGGCTAAAACTTGGTTCACAAGCTCCCGTTCATTAACTAAAGCCTGTCTCATCAAGTCTTTAATTTCGAGAACTCGGGCAACCCGATCCTTCACCTTTGGGAGACCGTCCTTGATTGACCGGTTTACGTTGGTCCGGAGCTTCAAGGTTCCCTCCATATTATTGATGAGGTCCATCATCTCTACCAGGAGGTCAGACTCCTCCTCATCAGCATCGTCGTATTGTTGACGGTAACGCTGAAGTTCGGGATCCGACCTCTGGGGGCTGATTTTCGGCGCTGTACTTTCCAGGAGGGTTCCCGTCAACGCCGGTTCAACGTCTACTTTTCCTTCTCCACTTGTCAAAGGAGATCTTAGTGGGGGGAACTCATTTGAGCCCTTAAAGGTTGCAGGCGGTGGAGTTGCCTTAACGTTGTTCGCTGGTGGCGACCTCTTGACCTTGGAGCTACGCCCAAAAGGGCTCCACTCCTTTTCCAGCTTCGATTTTTGCTCATTTGAGCTGCTGTTAAATAATGTGTTGGGTGGGGGGTTTTGACAAGCCATACATGTGTTTACCAGCGCATCGTGCGGCAAGAGACGGCCCGGATTTAGTCAGGAGCGGGTATACCCTCGGGGACAATCCCCTACCCCAGTTCCCCGGGGCCCGACCTCCGTTTGCCCAGCACCGGATACCTGACGTGCCGGGGGTTGCCTGTTGCAATGCAGAGCCCGACCTCTACATCCATGCCGCACTTCCTGACCAAGGACCGAAGTGGCTGGCTCCTCACGACACACTGGGAATACCCATCGGCAGTGCAGAGCACACATCAACCCCTGCAACACAACAGGGGCACTCCCAGGGACTCCCAGTGAGGACGTCAGTCACCCTTTTAGTCGCCTCTTACGACAAGCCCGGGAGGGCTGCGATCCTATTCTAACCCCGAAACCGCAGGGGGCGTTAGTTAGGGAATAGTTATTATTACCATCTTCTTCTTCTTTATTATCATTGTCATGAGATGGAATGCAACCATAGGATATGTTTCAAGGCAAATACGAATGAAGTATGAGTGAAATGTGCCTTTCATAGCTTTGTAAGTGACCAAGACCAGCTGTTTCTAGACAGGATTAATGCCTGATCAAGGCAGTGGAGTCTTCGTAAATTTTCCAGTGGGGGAACGCTCATCATTGTCATAGAAAAAACATGGGTCCGCTTATCAATAGGTCCCGTATTGCTTTTCTTGATAATAAGCAGAGTGGGAACGCCCTGTTCCCGCTCCACTACATCACTGGATCAAGGTTATCTGGATCCAGTTTCAGACCATAAGAACCCAAAAGATTTTCTTGGGATTGCACCGTTATTAGTTTAATGGTTGTACAAAAAAACTATTTGTAAAATTGAATTTGGTTTGAACTATACACATTTTGTTCTTAATTAAAAATGATTTACTAACCATCTTTGTCCATCTTCAGTAGAGCATCATCCTTTCATAAATTATTGACATATAGCCTAAGTATACTATGGGAAGTTTGTTGAGTAACTTGCATTTTATATTAAGTTTTTATTAGTCTCATAAAATTGTTTGATGTGTTTTGTTCCTATGTTACAGTTTTGGACCGTGAGGCATTTGAACGCCTGTTGGGTCCTTGTATGGCCGTTATGCGAAGGAACATATGTGACTACCAACAAGAGATGGAAGAACTAATCCGTCACAGCCACATGTGAATACTACAAAGTTGGATAAAATACTACATCTCTTTAACCATAGACACTACAACTGTTTTACAGTATAATCTTAGTAATATCACAAGTTTTAAAATTACTTGTGTAAAAGTTATTTAAATTGTGGAAATAAAAACAACCTATACTGCTTGATCTAGCCACACTTCACTGTTAATTGAGCGGAGCGAAGCAAAGCGAAGCTCTTTGGGATCAACATCAATGCAATCTTTATAACACTTAATCTCCTGACATATTTTAGCCAAACTTACCAAAGTTATTTTGTCAAATGTTTGGATGGTTTAGACTTAACCAATTTCAATTTTTGACGATGCCTATATAATTTTAAAGTAACTCAAAGTTTTAAAATTTTAACATAGGTCTTTTGAGTTGCCATGATGGTTACAAAATAACGACGTAAATGTAAACAAAATTTCCGCGCCGCAGCAAACCTGCAGACTAAGCGAATTTCAACTTGCCTGATTACATTTTTACAAAAATATTTCGATAAACAAGACATATATTTATTCGGTCCCTATTTGAATAACATTAGATTTAACGAGTGCCTAGGTCCTAGGATTGCTGGTACGGGGGAGGTAAAAAGTGTTTTTCGGCCATACATCAATAGCATAGGGTGAAATAAATAAATTTGCCAAATTACGTATCAATATATATCCATAAACAAGTAAACTACAACAATTTTCATTTTCTCCATAAGAATAACATGGGAATTTTAAAGTAGGCCTAACTATTTTTGAATTTTCTCCGTGACGGTTAGGCATACAACAGCGCTTCAATATACTTAATTATTTATTTTTTTAAGCTCTACAAAACGGTTAAGAAAGAAATTGCAATTTTTTTAGTTTTTAGGGTCAAAAATTGGAAAACCCATTTTTACCCCATAAAAACCCCCATAAACCCCCGTTTCCATGGTCCGATTATGCTGGATTGCGAATAAACGTAGGTTTACACTTTTGTACCGAATTTCATCAAAATTGGATCACTTTTGCTCGAGTTATCGGCGCTAACTGACATATATTTATATGAATTTGAACGGATGGTGTTTTTGTCCTCTAGGGACCTCAATGAAATATTAAATCGGTCCAGGGTCCAGTTCTTACCATGAGTAATACGGTAATAGCTTATTCCCTATATGGGAAATTCACTAACAAAGAATCATAACATAGCATGTGTTAAAATCAAGCCACAACCTAAACACAGTACAAAGCAGGGGAAAAATTCTCTTAATAAATAAGAGTGTTTAAGTGGGCACTTAAACACTCTGAAGCACCCTGCTTAAGTAACCTTCAGTCAAATATTCAAATACAACCGGTTTTGCTCTAAACAATGTCATATTAAAGCAGCTCTTGTGTCTCACCCGGTCCATAAAGTGTGTATGCTCAGGGTGGAATTATTGCGCACCCCAGACATGTTTTCTTGATGACCTTACAAGTTCAGGCGTCCAATGAAAGCCTGTAGCTTCCCAATTATTAGTTCCTCCTCGAAGGATATCTGCCTCTAGCCACATTGACAAGAGTTATCATTCTAGCATCAGAGAGCTCGTCACAATCAAAGAGCAGAGCAGGTGATCACTGATCAGCTTGTCTCCTTTGACCTATCACAGTGCCTACAGATCGTTTCACCGACAAATAAGCCCATCCGTTGTAAATGTTTCCTGAATCGCCCGTGACCAGTTATCAAGTCTACAATTAATTTTATTCTTTGCCTGTCTAGTCTCAAGAGGTCAGAGGCAACCTTTTTTTGGAGGCCTAAAAAGAGTAAGCTTGCTGACCCCTCTTCTTTGGCCCATGACGCAATCGAAGAAAAAGCGTTTTTTTGTGAAATGCCACAGAAGGGCTTTTGTGGGCCTATCATTGTTGTCGCAGAGGCAGTATTTGTCTATCTGCAACTTCATTTCCTTTAGTGTTAATGTTAAAAAAAAAAAAAAAAATGCCTGAGTGTCTAGGCACCCAGCAGTAATTCTTTCGGATGAAGTGCTTCATGGTCTCGGCCTACCCCTGTTAGTTAAAGATAAGATAAGATATCAATACTCGTCAAACAATATATTTCCTCAAATCCGAGTATAATTAAGAGGTAAATCTGGCCTTTCAAGGTTCTTGGTTCTCGGACTGTAAATTGGATGCACACAGTATTTTTTTTTTTTTACGTTTTCATGCACGAAATTTGATCAGTAACACACATATGACAGTGGTTTCTGTCATATACATACTTTTGACACTCGGAATATATGATTAAATAAAAAAACTGAGTGAACTTACAGTGTTGCCGTTTTGCGCGTAATTACGCTTTCGGCTTTTTGCGCGGATTTTGGGGGGCTGCACGGATTTTTGTGTGGATTAGGCTTGTGAGCGGATTTCACCCAATTGTAAAGTATTTAAAAATATATGGGAATTTCAACGACAAATTGGGACACTTTGTACTTTGTGACTCAAGAGGAGCACTTCCCTAGTAGCACAAATATATATTAAATACATATGAATAAATATATTTAAAATATATTTTATATATCTCAAGTGTGTATTAATGTCAATTTTATATAATATTTAAAATATATTAAATATATAAAAAATATGTTTTTGAATCTATTAAATACCTATTAAAAAAATATGGTCTAATAATATATTTTAGTGATTAATATTTAAATAAAAAATGTATTTAATATCACTTCCAAACATCCCATGGGGCCTAAACATAAAAACACAAAATAATGAAGATTTAGTATGAAAAGCACAATTATCAGTTGAGTAAATTGATTAAATAGTTCATAAAAACAAATTTTGAAAAAAAACTAGATAACATTTTTATGGCCCGGACGGGTCTCGAATCTGGGTCCTTCGACGTATGAGCCTCATACTTTACCTCTGAGCTATCTGCGACTGTTGTAAGACTTAGTTTTCAAATGGTGGAATAGTAGCCGACAGTTGCAATGGTTGAAATACTTAAAATATTTTTGATACTATAGTATAATATGATTCTGTTAATCTGTTCCCATGTAGCACAGATGGTTGGGCCAACGTTGGCCAACTGTGGGACAGTTGGTCGATGGTTGGTTGGAGCTTCCACAACCAACCAACCGTTGTCCAACTGTATATCTCGTAGTTGGGCCAACCAATATTTACAACTGTGGACCAACATTGGTTCATTGTTAATGAAATACATTAATATGCATTGCTGGGTATCATACATCAAGCCAACCGTTGTCCAACCGTTTTTCACTCCGTTGGACCAACAAAAGATACTTTTGTTGGACCAACAATGGTCCATAGTTGAGTTTACACGACTTTCATTCTCTGGGTCTAGCTTTCACAACATAATTATAATAAAATATCTGGTTTTACAATACCTTTATCAGTTCCAAAAGTTTCCAAAAGTTTTTGGAACTGATAAAGGTATTGTAAAACCAGATATTTTATATATTACAGTTCCGGCGCTACAACAATGATTTTAATAATTTTAATAATGCAAATATTTTTTAAATTAATATTCTTTAACTTATTTGCAACAATTTAAGTGGAAAGAGTAATTAATCATATAACAGGCAATTATAATAGCATTAACAATCTAACGGTAATTAATTAATCATTCAAATACCAGTATCCTCTCTAACTCCAAAAAAAAAAAACTACTTATGATGCCTTAACAGATTAACAGAATCATATTATACTGTGTAGTATCAAAAATGTTTGAAGTATTGCGACCATTGCAACTGTCGGCTACTCTTTCACCACTTGAAAACTCTCTATATCAGCAATCACAGATAGCTCAGTGGTAAAGTAAGAGGCTCATAAGTCGAAGGACCCGGGTTCGAGACCCGTCTGGGCCAAAAAAATTTTGTTCTAGTTTTTTTTCAAAATTTGTTTTTATGAACTATTTAATCAATTTACTCAACTAATAATTATGCTTTTCGTACTAAATCTTTATTATTTTGTGTGAAATAAAACGGTTGGACAATGGTTGGCTGGAAAACAGTTTAAAGAGGTGACATTTCTACCGTTGGCCAACTGTGTGGCTCCACAATTTACCAACGTTGGCCCAACCATCTGTGCTACATGGGTTTTGGCATCAAGTAGTTGAGTTGAATAGTGCTGTAGTGAATAGTGAGTAGTCCCACGAATAAAAAATACAGTAAACTACAAAAATTAATTTAAATACAATATCATGTAAATACTGTAATAATATTATGTAATTTATGACTTAAAGTAAATCATATAATTATTTTTAGAAAGTCATATACAACCGTAATTAGTTTCTTAAAAGGTCGCCAGTCACTAGCACGCTTTTCTAGCCAATCATTCGAGATTTCCATGATATCACATTCATTGTCACATATTGCAATTAAAAAATAAAACACATCAACACTTTTTTCATTTGACCCACATGTAGCTGTTGAACATGTGTACTGCCTCTTAACTATATGCGTATTTTTTTCTTTAGGTGCATAATAGAGTTACACCATTCAGAGTATAGTGTTCCAGAGTATAGGCCTATATTATTATTTACTTAATTTTAACACTTTCACAATAGCAATTATCATACAAAAAATGCATGTATACATTATGCAAGTATTAAGTATTAAGTATTAAGTGCAAGTATGAAGTTAATTGATTCATAGTGATAAACACTATGAAAAATAAAAAGATGCAAATTATTTATTTGCCAATTATAATAGATTATATATATTCTACAAATATATTATATTTATGAAGTGCAAATAAAACTCATTATGAATTGACCTAAGGATAGGTTTTAATAAACTCTGAAGTCAAGTAAGATTTGTACAAATACAAAATTTAAATAGTAAACAAAGAACAACTGTGAGACAATAAAGAAATTCATAAATACAATAAGGAATAATAACAGTTCATATGTATAAAAATATTATCACATTCTTCCCACCCTAAAACGAGATGTAAGTCTTTGATAGTAAGGTCTTTGCCGTATACGCTTTGGATGCGTTTTGGAAGGTACACTGAACTTGAGTCTTTGCAACTGTTTGCATGTTCAACTGGTACATTCCTGTCACTTAATGTCCCACTAGAATCATTTTCGTCTTGTTCTTGATCAAAAGAAACCTCCGGTTCTTGAATAACTTGTTACTTTAAATATATAATATAGTTTCAAAAATATTATATATA